TCAATGCATATCCATCTGTGTATTCTAATATGAATAACAAAAAGAATATGTATCATGATTTTTATTCAAGTCAAAGTCACATGATGGAATACCTCGAATTATATATCAGTGTTTATCCCCAAATACTCACATACAGTAGTCAATGCGTGAGATTGGAGAAGATACTGCAAATTGGGAATGTCATATTGGCTAAAACATTTCGACGTAAGGACCCAACATTATTTCGTGGGGGAGGATATTGTTGGAAAGTATATGATGCAAATTCTAAATATCAATGATTTCACTACACAACCGACATGCCGAATGTATACAATTCCAGAACCCAGGTGAGTCTGTTCCAATTTCCGTTGTTAATTCTAATACCAATGAGTGCATTCTAGATAACACAGAGTGTACATCCAATACACCATCGGACAGATGTAAGATGAACTTAAGAAGAACACGAACAATCGATTACAGACACTTACACTCCGATTCGAGCTGTAGCGGATGTAATGTTCAAATAAATCAATGACTTCTTCGTATTGATGACTGTTGTAATTTTGAATTCCAAATACAATACATTCGTTCGAGCTTATCTAATACTTCTTGATTACATTACGTTATTCCTGGGATTAATGGTTTATACTACAATTCAAATGCTTCTGATCATCATAGATTCACATATTTCTGATGCAATTTCTGACGACTCTGAGAATAAAATGTTGAATAAGTCAAATTATGATCAAAATCCAGATGCAGTTTTGGTAGACGCCAATATCTCTAATGATCTATTGTTCTTTAATGAAATTCTCAATAAATTTGAGGAAAATATTTCAGATGCTATTCGCCGTCACAATGGATCTTTAGAGACATCCCTAATGAATGCAATAAATATGTTCCGGATTAGTCGAATCCTAGTCACATTTCTGATGTAATTGTATCAGATGTTGGACGTTCTACAAACCAATGTGTGTCGAGTAGAATCCCTAGTTAGTGGTTTTATGAATGAGAACCAGTTTGCCCAGATATGAAGTTTGCACAGGCAGAAAATTCAAAACAAGTCCAAGATTATCCTATTGAGTATGAGGCAGATGGATGTTTTCCATTTGATTGTTTCGCATGCGAGTCAAGCCTAGATGAATCAAATGTGTTAATCACACATATTAAGGCATATTTATCTATGTATTCGAATATGAATAACAAAAAGAATATTTATCACAATTTTTATGCAGGCCAAAGGCAAATGATGGAATGCCTCAAATTACGTGTCATTTTTTATCCCCAAATACTCACATATAATAGTCGAGGCGTGAGATATATGGTAGTTCAAAGTGATCATAACGCTGCGACATAAGGACCCTACATTCTTTCGTGGGGAAGGATAGTATTGGAAATTCTATGATTCAGATTCTAGATATGAGTGGCTTCACTACACAATCGACATGATGATCGTATACAATTCCAGGACCCAGGTGAGTCTATTCCAATTTTGGTTGTCGATTCTAATGCTAACAAGTAAATCCTAGATAATACAGAGTCTTTATCCAATGCGCTGTCGGACAGACACAGGATGAACTTAAGAAGACGTATAATAGATTACAGACCCTTATACTACAATTTAAGCTGTGTTGTGGTGCTTATATGAGCCAATGATTTCTGTGTACTTGATGACTTGTTGATTTCGAATTCCAAACACAACACATTCGTTCGTGTTCATCTAGTACTTCTTGATGAAATTGCGTTATTTCAGGGATTCTTAATTTATACTATATTTCAAATGCTCTTAATTATCATAGTGGACTACATAGATATTGGCAACCTCCCTCCGAGCTGTACATTCCTACTAATATATCTCCTCATAATTCTTTGTCCTAAGCTGTTGATTTCACAATTGCCAAAAAATACAAATGGGCAGTTCTGTGATTCTCGAATGTTTCGAAACGTACGGGTTCACAGAGAACAGTTGATCCTGTCTGGATTGTCCTGAAGCCCTCAAATTCAGTTATCTTGAAGTTGGGTAGTGTTTACAGTCAAGCAAACGCAGCAACAGGGGAAATAGCTATATTATCGGAAGTATTCACACTACCCACATCCTTACCATTCACAGACAAGCTTATTTGTAGGGACCTCAACATGCCTGAAACTTCTTGATTGCTGTAAGAGTGCCAAAACGTTTTAAGTCATTTTTGAGTTCGCAGAGCTTGGACAATGGACTCAATGGGTCGGTAGCCCTACTAAGCATAAAAATATCTTGGATTTGGTCTTTAACAGCAACCTTATCCCCAAGTACTGTGCATCTTTGAAGGACATTTTCAGGTAGTGATCATAAAATTGTCACCTTCAGTCCTGATGTAAGAAATACAACATGTAAATATTCGACCATCACACTTCGTAGAGACTATGGCACGGTTGATCTTATAGATCAATGATGTAGATGATCCGTGTCGGATGACTGGGAGCCTACTTGGATAGACGTAAATGGTGTGACAAACCAGCTGATGTCGAAGTCGCACCTCTCGGTCAGTACCTTACGTGAACTAGCCATTCGTCGTACCCGGGTAACAAATGCTCCTTTGATGACTGTACAACACAAAAGACGTTGTTACAGAAATATATTAGTAAAAGCAGGTACAATTAACAGAGCGCAACCACTGCTGCATGGGGCGATTCATGGAGTGCAATTAACTGATGGGCGTTAGTTGTCCTTGGCATTGGCGAAGATCGGCAAGCCGTTCGAGACGCAGCGACATGACTGTCGGATGATTCGGCTAGAACTCAATGACATTTCACTGGTCCTCCAGTTAAAAACATTCCAAAACTGCCTAAGCAGCACTGACAATCATCTTCTCATGTATATAGACGATATATGCAGAATCATAAAATTTGGAAGACCATACTTACACTCCGATGATATGAAAATAGTATGCAGCCTTAAACCTAAAGCTTTAAGTGAAAGTATATCCCAATCCCGAAGGGATCTTGATAACCTATTTATCTGAAGTGAGAAATGGCATTTACCATTAAACTACAACAAAGGTGGGATCATCCGCTTTTGGAAACATTACTGTGAACTGCTGCGTTACTTAAATAAATGCATAATTGGGACGCACAACCCAGTAGTCTAGATATTAATTACACATTAAGCCGAAAGTTCTCAGAACCTTTATAGTGCTGGTGGGGGCCAATAGCGAGTGATCACTGTGATGAAGTGAGGGACATCACTCAGAATGCCATTCTACACGATGTACCTCAGGGAAAGAATACACTTGAAAATAGGTATTTGGCTAAGTAGGACACAGGACGCTTTCTACAGACTAAAAGGGGAGCCTGGTGCAGGTGATAAGTCTTTCTCAAAGGCTTTAATAGTAGCTCTTACTTGGCATCAAGAGACAGATGCAGCACCGGAGATGCTTTCAGGCCAAGCTAGCAACAGAAATTCAGGTTAACCCTTACTATCTCTGCAGTTTCATGACTAAGAGAAAACGTATTTATTTGTTCTTTCAAAGGGCGAAATAGGGAAGATCCAACGTACTTAGAGATGACAGCCATCTTTGATGCAAAACCCAACGACTGGTTACATCAATAACCTACAAACGCGAAATACTCCTCAACTCTAGTATCATTTGATGGTCTGGGAAATATCCAACTAACTTCCCGGTCTAGTTCTAAGAAAACTGAAGTTCTTGCGCTCAGAGAAATCACCAGGGTGTGGCAACGTTGATCCTGTAATTCTGAAACAGTATATGGGTCCCATCAACATAGTGGTATGTGACCTGTTCAGCCACTCATTAGAGTCAGAGCGACAGCCAAAATATAGGAATGGGCCGGTCGTATTACTTCCAATAATGTCTAAGGTAATGTATTAACTGGCAAGTGACCGAATTGGGGAGCGTCCTTCATGGAAACCTGCCGTTGATTGGCTCTTCAGAGCGTGATCTCGTGCATGTAATCACTAAGTGTTTAGACGCCAGCTCAAACTATATAGAGGATTCAGTCAAGACGAACGCAAAGCTCCACCTTTTACAAAGACAGTTTGAGGAAATCATTCCAGAATTAACCATAACTCTCCTTCAAACGTACGCACGGCTCTTCCTGGATGTTAGCCACGTCGTTACATTCTGTGTCATCAAGAGACACGTAAATCCCTGGAAAAGGTGCAGAGACGGGCAAACAAGTGGGTAACAGGGCTCATGAATAAATCTCTCGGAAAAAGACAATAGCGTCTAGGATTATTCTCGCCGACCTAAAGGAGGGTAAGAGGTGATCTGATAATGGCATACAACATATTAAGTACTCCAAACCACCCCAAGGCGAGAATATTACCGGAGCATCATCACCGTGCTACTTGAGGCGACCTTCTAAAGACTGCACATCATAGAGCGGACACACAGGCACGCTTTCACGTCTCCTCATTAGGAGTTCTCCCGATTTTGGTTGCACTCCCAGCCACAGTAACCACAGCATCCTTAGAGGGTAGCTATAAGATGAAACCTGACCCGCGTATACTATCTCATGGATTACCGTCTCATTATTATACCAGCTGTGTCTAACGCATGACGCATACGTTACCACGGTTATCACTACTGCATATCAGTGACTACTCCCTCCCTCCCTCATTATGATATTCGCTCTCCTCTTATTCCTTTAATCCTGTCTTCTTAGAAATTAGCATTTAAACAGATTAATTATTCATGTTTGGAACAATCAACTCAAAGTATTTATTTCTCCGCATGTCGTTTCTCCAATTTCTGCCAACCAACCTTTTGTCTGGCAATATGCCAGCTTCTGGTATCCAGAAATCTTATTTCCTTGAGACAAACGCACTCACTTGACTCACAAGATATACAAATTCACAAACTGACAACAATCCGTATTCGAGTGACCAGATTTTCAAACATTATATATTACCTTACACCTGAAACCTTAACGAAATAATAAGAAGTAAGAGCTAATAAATCCATCATTTTATACCAGCTTGTTTAAAAGGATTGAATGTTGGAACATCGAGAAACAGCCGCGTATTTCAAAGTAAGCGCTGCGGTGGTATGTTATTGGTTATGGGTCCCTAGAACAAAGAAGACGGTTAAATAAAATAAAATGTTTGTATATCTCCACACCAAGAAAATTGGTTGGTTGGATCAAAGTTCGTGAAATGAGTTGACATGACGGTAGTCCTAAAAATGTCAGAGCACGAAAACATTTGTTTGTTAATCGAACACCTGGGTTCATATGTGTTCAAATGTGGTTCTTCTGTCGGCAGGGAAATATAAAAGTCATATTTTTAAGGTCGTATTTAGGGTCACACTTTTAAGTGCATCCATACTGCGTACACTGTTTTTTTTTCAATAAAGGTCCTATCTGTGTATGGTCGTCCGACTATAAGCCGAAATTATGGGCTTGATTTCTTCTCGGAGTCAGCAAGTGGTTCAAGAAAAGGAGATTCTAAGAGAATGTCCAATTCAGAAAGGTGGTGGGTGCCCAGTGGATCATGGGTACAAAGACCTCAGTCCAGAAAATCTTGTGAGTTTCATATTCTGTATATCTTTAATATTTGATGGATCTAATTTTATACCGAGTGTCTACAAAAGACAAGGTCTCATTTATTGAAATAAATTTCGCTGGAGTTCTGCTCGTAAGGTCGGCCTTTTTGCAAGCAAAGTTATAAATGTTGCTCATTGTCCACTATAACTTCTGGGGATAAGTTTGTTTAAAACTGCGTTGAATCACTTGGTTATCTGATGGAACATTATTATCGTCAATCTTCATAGTTCCGTCACTATTACTCCACAAAATGTTAAACCAAATCATGGTGTTAGTTTCAAGTTTGGCTCCCAGAGTGTAAGATCCATGAAAAGCAACAACGTAGTGTTTAATTTCTGTAGTAATCTTTGCCCATTACGAGTACATTTGCTTTTATCTTGTATGGCATTATGCTTAACTTATCTATTTTTATGTCTTGTTATACACTTAGCCTATTTTGCTGCAGTGGACGGAAAGGTCGCACTGATGGAAGTTTTTCCAGTATCTAACGTTGACGAGTGGGACTTACATGACAATGTTTTACACAGGAACTGTAAGATATTTCGAGTAAAGTAGTCAGTCAGCTGCAACGTAGCACCAGACACATATATACATCGGTCCAAGTTGCCACACCTCATTAGCACAACAAAATGAACACCAAATTCATTGAAGTAGTTACTTCAATGGTAGTAATATATAAAAGAAAGATTGTGTATGCAGATATAATACAGGAAGAGCGAATTAGTTTGTAGAAAAAAGGTATAAAGCAATTTTAATCTCACGGTTTAGGGGAAGACAAGGAGTGTATACACTTACGCCATTGTGATCGATTCTAAGCCATGTCACTCAGTCTCCAATCATTGGTTACGATAGTCACGCGGACCCCAACCAGGTAGTCTGCATCTGCCAACATGGCTCAGACTAGAAGTTAGTGACTTCAAGCACTGATGAACACGTTTTGGTTTGGCCGCCCCTAACTCTCTTCCGACCACCCCCTATACTAGTCAGCATTGTGAGTCGTGGTAATCAATGTCCAGGCATGTGTAACATGTGGCCCGACCATCTCAGTCGATGAAGATTCACAACCTCATCAACTGATTTACCATCATTCCTTAGTACCATGTGTTTAACCTCACTATTACTTAACCGGTGATCTCAAAAGATACTGGCAATATTTCTAAGATACCTGTAATCAAATACTAGTGGTTTACTAGTATCTTCTGCTCCTAATGGCCATGTTTCGCAGCCGTAAAGTAGAACAGAACAAACTGTCACATAGTATACTCGTCCCTCAATTGATAGACGGATATCTCGCCTTCACCATAGGTCCACCTCTTGGTCTACAGAGTCAAATGCTGCTTTTAAGTCGAGAAAGACCAACATTTTCGGACGCCGACAAGCATGTATGTGTTCTAAAATATGACGAATGGTGAATATGTGGTCGACGCAGCCACGACCAGGTCTGAAGCCAATCTGATTTTCTTTTATTTACAGTTGACGAGTCTTTGTTAGGTGTCCGATAATTATTGAGGCCAGTATTTTAAATGTTATATTAGTCAAACTAATCCCTCTATGGTTATCACAGGATGATTTCGATCCCTTCTTATATATTGGGACAATCAGTGATTGAGACCAGTCAGATGAGATTACATCCAGTTCCCAGATTTTAGCCAAAATATTAGACAACCTAATCGCTAAAATTGGACCATCATCGTTAAAGACCTCTGGAGCCAATCCATCTGGACCGGCTGCTCTTCATCGTTTTAGATTAGTTATGACTTTTTGAACTTCAATTGGAGTCGGGGGACCTACTTCAATGTTCTATTCAGGTTTTCTGGGAATAGTGGGTAGTTGTACAGTAACTGAAGGCCAGCTGAACTGCTCTTTAAAGTGTCTTGTCCATCGTTTTAAACATCTGGGCTAAGAGCAGATAGGAGTGTCGTCTTTTTCCGAGATCATCTCACTTACATTTGACTTCTTAATTCCGGTTTCTTTTATTAGTCTGAGGAGTTTCCTGGTGTTGCCTACAGCCGCTGCCTTTTCCACCTCTTTTGCTTTCGTTGCCCACTACTGCTCACGATTGTTCCTTAGACTTTGGGTTGACCTAGATTATCAGAGCCTGATGGGATGAGTTTACGATAATCCATCAGTGAAATAGACGTAGAAGAAATCCATTGGTTTTTCGGAACCCTATGGTTTAAATTACTAATAGATGTTACTGCTGTTTCCACAGCAATTCGTATATTTTTCCAAGCAGCATCTGGGTCAGTCTCATTTACAGAACTGCCTAGATGTGAACTCAGTTTTTCCTGGAACTCATTTTTGGCTTTTTTGTCCTCCAGTTCAATCCTAATGAGTTTTCTTATTGTAGTTTTTCTGCGTCCTGTGAGGCGCAAACAAATGCGTGCTCGTATTAAAGCATGATCAGAGTCTAAACATGTATTCCAGTACGAGCGACAATCTTCTATTTGAACCTCTCCAACGATGACTGATGACAATATGGTCTATTTGAGTCCATCGTTGGTTTGGTGCAGGTAGTTGCCATATTAGACGATGTCTCTCTTTATGCTTAAAATTAGTTCTTGCTAAAAAATAAACGATTGTCTGAGTATAGTTGCAACAGACGATCACCATTATCTGTTTGCTGAGCCGGAATACTAAAATACCCACCTAAATGTTTTTCTGTTTGATTTAAGCTGCCTAATTGGGCATTAAAGTCACCTGCTACGAGCACTATGTCTGAGCGTTTAGCTTTTTGAAGGAGTTTGGAAAGCTTTCTGTAAAATTGATCTTTCACTTCAACATAGCTGCAGTCAGTGACAGCGTAGGCAGAAACGACGAAATGGTAAAGACGTGTGTCCCTATCCTTCCGAGTTCATACGGAGCCATTTAGCCGGACAGCATACAGGCGACTGTTAACGGGGATCCATTCTAATAGTACTTGTTCTACCCAGGTACTAAGTGCTATGCCTACACCTGCAAGTCCATGAGAACTAGTCAGAGGGTCGCCAGATACACGAATAGTGTATTTCGTTGGCTGTCCATTTTGGCGAGGTGAGGTCAAGTGAATGACCACACTAGGGTCCTGTATGCGTGTTTCGGAGACACAGCATACATCAATCGTATGAGATTCTAGGGTCTTAGCCAAGGAGGCCTGTTGGCCGATTTGACATTGGGTATGTACGTTGAAGGCTCCAATGTGTAGTTTGGAGAGAGGTTTCAGTAGACCTGGGACAGTGTTTTGCGCACTAGAGTTGTTGGCCATGGTGACAATTGAAGAGGGAGTCAAAATAGGAAGTTTAGAGTTGAAACTCGAGGTAGGAGGAATAATAGGAATTGAGGAGGGAGATTGATTATGAATACAGTGATCTTGAGTGTTGTTATAGGTATGAGCGCAGTGATCACTTCTCGGTTGCCCACACCGCGGAAGGGTTCTTCTAGAGGTACTTGAAAAAGAAATTGGGTTAGAAGTGGTCTTAATGACCTGAGAGCGTGACCGCAGTGCCCAAGGGACAACTGTTTGAGGTCGGTCACACACGACCATTTTGTGGGTAGTTTTTGTGTTAGCTCCGTTCTTCAAAGGACCTTACCGCCGGAGGCGGATACCCGTGGGATAAGGCGAGGTGTGCATTTTTAGGGTCGACCTTTTCTAACCCTATCCCTCCTTGTGGGAAGGCAGCATCGCTGTTATGCTGGTTGTCTGAAGGAAACACCTTACTGCTGTCACACCTCTGGACAGTCAGCAGTACGACTTCGCCTTCGGACCTTGGATTTGCTGCTTTTAGTCTTACCGCTCTTCAAACGACCTGCCTGGCATGATAGGACCTTGAGGAACGATTGTTCCAGCCAGTATAGCTCGTTTGGTTCATCACGATAGGCTAGCTTGACCACTACGTCAAGGTAGCAGCAACGATCCGGCAAGTGAAGTCGACTATACATCCTTTAATAGAAAGGTTAACCGTGTGACTTGTTGACTTCTCACATGGTCGTAGTTATAGCATTAAACCATACGCTTCACTAGTAAAATACTATTTCTACTTAATTTTCTATCGCCACTTTCATTGCTAGACTGTTTGCGGATTTTTTAAGTTGTTTCAAAGTTTAAGTACTTATTCTATGCTCTCTCATTGTCCTCATATGACCACACATGTCAAGCCACTGCCAGGAAAGTCGTATCTCCTCACTGCTGGGATCTTGTTTACAAAATCAAGAGGGAGAGAAGTAAACGCTCGGCTCTGAAACTTGGTTGATGGGTAGGGAAGATCCACCTACAGGAGTTGGAAAACCTTGATTTCGAACCAGCGATGTAGATCCTAGGGGAACAAATAGCGTACGAACCTATTGCTGACCACAGGCTACTATGGGACTGCATTTCCTAACGTTGCTTCACGACATTTGTTCCCTCAGGATCCTAGAGCCCATGTACATCATTATTTTAGAATCAGTGTTTTCAACTTCTCCAAATAAATCCCTTAATTTTAATCTGGATGAGGTATATAGTGAAGTTTTTTTTTTCAATTGGTGAACCAGTATTTTCTTGAACCACCTTTCGGTGATCAATAATTAGTCAATTCTGATGATCATCGTAAACCTTAATTAGAGTGGTTTTTAATAGTTCACTTATATGTACTAAAACCCCACATCTCTTCCCCTATAAATATATATTCTTAACTTCACGTTGTTTTGTAGAAACAATATTAAGTCTTGTGCTGTAACTAAATGCAATGTTATTTAAGAACTGATTTATATTAATAATTAATTTAACCTAATTTCCCCTCACACTGTGCTGATATAATGTGTGGCAGTTCGGACTGATTTAAATTCGTTCCAGGTCGTAGACTGACCATAACTAATGAATTTGTTGTCTGAACTAACTCACAAGTTAGCTAAGTAGTTGTTTTCAATTTTGATTACCTCAGGTGGGGATATAAAACACACAACAAGCAATGCTCTCGACATTGTTGAACTCAGATGTTGATTGTATTGTATCGCCTAATTAGTTCATAAACTAGCCTACTCATCGAACACTTGAGGAAGCTATTATATAAGACAACAATGAAGTTGATTAAGTCACCAATACTAGACGTTTCTTAAGTTGGTATGTAAAACACTCGAACCAAAGGAGCTCATTGATCATTTATAGTAATCATAAAAAAACTTGATTTTATAAATGAACTTATGTTTTACGGTAAGCAACAGTCACACAAATTTTTTAATATGAGTTGTGTGTTGTAAATTTGAGTATTTGTTAGCAAACTGCTTCTGTATGCTATAGGTTAAGATAATCATAGTTAAAAACCTATCTTTAGAACCTCTACTTTTAAGACAACAGATCCACTTGTTAGATAATCTTCATTACTGATCATTATCAAGGGGTTTAAATATTTCATTATTTTTTGTAAACACATTGGTTGTATTTCAGATGCCACCCCCTAGCCAACTCCCAAGTCCAGGACAACCTTTCCCACTGTCTACTGAACGCGAATTGTCTTCTATTCCAAAAGCAGATAGTTCTAATGGTGAAAAATGGATATATCCTTCACCCCAAATGTTTTGGAACGCTATGCTTCGTAAAGGTTGGCGTTGGCGAGATGATGATATCAAGCCTGAAGATATGAACAACATCATACACATACATAATGTCAATAATGAATTAGCTTGGCGTGAGGTTTTAAAATGGGAAGCTCTACATGCTAAGTAAGTGTGAATCCTCTTGAAATAAAAACTAGGTTCATTTTCCTACAAGTAGTGATGGAAGTCAGTAAATAAAGCTTTTTATAATAACAACTATATTTCTTACATTTAGTTATTTAACATTATCTACAATATTATTGCACTTTCTTTGCTTTTCATCACGTCGATTTCCAACTAAAGAGAGATGTAACAATATAAGTGGATACGTATTTTTTCTAGGCCCTACTAACTTCTGGTAATTAATTTTGAATGCGAGCTTCTGTTATTCTATAAACACGTTTTGAACTATTTACGACGTGCTCTTTATAATTTATAAAAGTCAGCATTTAGAATCCATGTGAACTTATGTGTACTGTAAATGAATAACACAAGTAATAACATCATCCATTTGGTGCAATTATTCCACATGCGAAGTTGTGAATTATGTCTATTGGATAATGGTTATTGATTCTACCGGATTGTCTATATTTTTGTAGATAAATCATTGTTTGAATTCATAATAGCCCATGTGATAAAGTTTTTATTTTTAAGTTGGTGTAGACTTTGTGGGTTTTTTAACCACTTCTTAACAACTAAACCTGGTCATAAAAAATAATCTAGATGTATTTTGCAAATTCACTTATTTGTTGACGGAAGGATTATCTATTGCTGTCGCCTAAAAATGTATTGACTTTTCTCCTAATCTACATTGTCAACAATGAGGGCGTAATGAACTGAAGTAACACAACTTAGTTTAACTTTATGGAAGACTGTTGGCAGATTTATCATGTAGTATGAACATTATAGTTAAGATGATTCCTAATTACACACTAAATTTTTTTAAAATGACAAGTTTTTGTTTAATGAAACTTATTCACTTTTTTGCACATACTAATTTATGTACTAATCAACAAACTTCACACTGATTACTGAGTATAATAATCAGTCAGTCAGTCGCAAATTAAAACTTCGTACCTATGTACGTACGTACATCAGTTCGAGTTGTCATATCACATTAGCACAGAAATGCAGTTGTCGATTCAAATTCCATAGTGGTAGAGGTAGTAAAATTATCAGTAGTAATCGGAAAGACTAGGGTTTGATGTTATTCAAGGAGTATAATCCAGTGAAATAAATTTGGAAAGAGAAAAAATAGAGACATGAAGAATTCAGAAGATTAGAGTCTGGCAGAATACAAAGAGTGAACGCAACTTCGCCATCGCAAACGATTTTGAGCCATGTCATTCAAGGTCTCTAACCATCGGTTGCTATCATCTTACGGATCCCAACCAGGTAGTCTACGCCTACCAACATAGCTCAGTCCACTTGTCAGTGATTTCATGGATTTGTGCCACGTTTTGGTCTGGCCGCCCCTAGCTTTCTCCAACCTACTCCTATACCATAAAACATTGCATGTCGGGGCAGTCGGTGGTTGGGCATACGTAACACATGCCCCAGTCATCTCAACTGATGAAGTTTCACTACTTCATCAATCGGTTTGTCATCCTTACCTAGTGCCTGTTTTCTAATAACTGCATAACTTGCTCGGTGGTCTCAGGATATACGAGCAATGCTTCGAAGATACCTATGATCGAACACTAGTAGCGTACGAATATCCTCTACTCTTATCGGCCATGTTTCACTGCCATAAAGTAGGACGGAACGAACTGCTGCGCAGTAAACCTGTCCTTTGATTGGTAGACGGATATCTCGTCTATGCCATAAATGACGCAAGTTGGCGGAAGCTAGACGTGCCTTCTGTATCCGTGCTGAGATTTCGTCACACACCAGACCACAAGGGCTGATGAGACTTCAAAGATAAGTGAAGCAGTCAACACGCTCAACTACTTCACTTCCTATCATTAGTTCAGTTGTCGACGCAACCTAATCCTCAAGTATCATTTTGCACTTCAAGGGGGAGAATCGCAACCCGAACATGCCTGCATTGTTGCTCATAGTGGTCAGAAGACTCTGCATTTTGTCAGCGTCTTCACTAAATAGAACTATGTCATCGGCATATTCTAAGTCAACAATTGAGTCTCCTGGTAAAAGTTCAACTTCTGGAGATTTAGATGGTGAAAGTGTTATCTCTAAAAGCATATCAACGACGAAGTTAAACAAGAATAGAGAGAGTGGACAGCCTTAACGAACACCACTTAAAGTAATCAATTCTGATGACAGTTTGTCATAAGCCCTAATTCGGCCAGTTGTGTTCGAGTAGAGAGCCTTTAAAAGGTTGATGTACTTCTTTGGTACTCCTTTCAGTGACAAACGCTGCCACAGAACCTCACGATAAACCGAGTCAAATGTCGCCTCAAGGTCGAGAAATACTACTATTGTGGGATGTCTGAATGTGTGTCTGTGTTCTAGGACCTGACGTAGGGTGAATATCTGGTCTATACAACCACGCCCAGATCGAAAAACAACCTGGTTTTCTCTAGTCTGCTCTTCACGAGCTTTGGTTAATCGTCGAAGTATTATTTAAGCAAATATTTGAGACACTATATTAGTCAAACTAATCCCTCTATGTTCATTCAGTATTGTTTGTTTGAATCTTCCCATCGATCTGTTAGGACTGCAACTGGTCAGTCTCTAATTGGCATATGTGCATACTGTGCGTATTGCCTCAATATAGCCTTAATTCACAAGCATGGTAAGCAGAGATGGATAGTGGCTAGCAGTGGAATCCAGAACGCGCGTTTCGTCCTATTTGGGACTCGTCAGCTGGATGTACCTGCATCTCAGAGTTGATGTTCACTCTGGGACTCGAACCCAGTACCCTCGCTTCAAACGCCATCGCGTTATCCACTCGGCCACTGAGTCCTGATAGCCACTTGCTTGTGCGATAGGGTGAAGTTTAAATTCATTCAGTATTGTTTGTTTGAATCTTCCCATCGATTTGTTAGGACTGCAACTGGTCATTCTCTGGGTTCGAGTCCCAGAGTGAACATCAACTCTGAGATGCAGGTACATCCAGCTGACTAGTCCCAAATAGGACGAAGCGCGCGTCCTGGATTCCACTGCTAGCCACTATCCATCTCTGCTAATCCCTCTATGGTTATCACAGGATGATTTTGATTCCTTCTTATATATTGGGAAAACTAATGATTGAGACCAGTCAGATGGGATTATGTTCAGTTCCCAGATTCTACCTAAGACCTCAGTCAATCTCATTGCTAATACTGGACCGCCATTCTTAAAAATCTCAGGGGTAGACCTGTCAGGGCCTGCTGCTCTCCCTCAATTCATATTTCCTATAACTCTTTCAACTTCGTAAAGAGTTAGAGGACTTACGTCAACTTGCCAGTATTTCTCCCTAACTTTATGGTTTACCGTCCTAGCAGATATCACTGCTCTTTTCACAACTTTTCGGATACCATTCAAAGCTGTCTCGAAGTGGGGGTCACTTACATGACTGCCTAACTGTTTTTCTAGTTGTTCCTGAAATCTATTCGTAGCTTGCCTGTCATTAAGTAGAACCCTAAAGTGTTTCCTTGCAGCGTCTTTCCTACGTCCAGTAGGACGCAGACAGATACATGCTCGCACTAGAGCATGATCTGAATCTAAGTATGTGCTCCAGAATGAGCGACAGTCCTTTATCGAACCCGAGTATAATATGGTAATTGTCCATTCTTAATTACTTACTGAATTTTATAACAATCAATCATATCGGTCCTCACAACTCAGAAGTTAAGAGTTATTATGGGAATCAAATAATTCAATAAGTTTGCTAATGATTCTGAATTTAAGAATTTAGGAATTACTTCAATAAAATACTGTAATTAATACTGGTTTGAAAGTGTTGTAAGCCTGTCACTCAGTCGAGAACAGCGTAGAACCTGTCATGTGTACATCTGTTACTACACCATATCAATGCAACGAGAGGAAGTTGTGAAAACGGATGCTAGAATAGTGAAAGTGATAACAGTGTCAATGGTAAACAATATAACTTGAGAATAATGAATAAATCCACCGAATCAGAGGGTGTAAAATAACCTTGAGTTCAGGATCTAGGGGAAAATAAAGTAAACGTGTCTTATTTATTATTTGGGCACAGATGTGAAAACAGGATTCACATTTCGTCCTATTTGAGACTCGGTGCTTGAAGCAATAGGTACTAGCTTTAAATATGTGTGAACACAAATACTCGGATACAGACACATCCAGCTGACGAGTCCCAGATAACATGAAACTCACTTCCTGGATTTCATTGTTAGCCAAAACCCAGCTTTGTTAATATTTTGTATTCTCTTTTTGGTTTACTTTGTTCCAGTGAATGTATGACACCGAAATTGCGTCGTTTTGCTGGGGATGCAAAAAACTATTCTCCAAGAGCACGTATCCGTCGGGCCATGGGGTATGTACTATTTTTATGAACAACTTTAAATGACTTTCATAAGCAATATTTACTGCTCAAGATATGTCTACATGAAGTACACCGTATGCATCTGGTAATTGGACGAAAGATAAAAATTAGTAAATTTTTTTTTGAAGATTCAGACATTCAGAGATAGTTTTGCCTAAAAGCTAATAAATCCAAAACGCAATTGATAATTGGTTTTCGAATGAAGTCATGTTTTGGCTAGGATCGTCGGCTTAAAAGTGAAGGAGTTCGACGTCGCACCACTAAGTCCCATATTCCCATTCGTTTCTATCTACTTTGGTTTAGGCGACTGGATAGTATCGTTACCCCTCACACTTATAAGTATGGGCTAAGACCAAGCACACAGATCAGTACCATATTGAAAAAATCCTTTTCGGCTACAAGTTTTATGATGAGTTTTTGATGATGAGTTACTTTTGGGCCGGTAAAATGGGGACAGTAAAATACTGATTAACAGATATGACCAACTAATAACTCCTTGCCCCCAAATGCCCTGGTACGGCAGAGTGGGGAGAGTCCGCTCTCCCTCTCGAAATGCTCTCACATGGCCACGCGAATATATAGCCTCTGCCAGGGAAGTACTACTCACTGCCTTTTCGTGGCGGGGGTGTTGTTTACGAAAGTGAGAGGATGAAGAGAGAATGTCCGGCGCTTTAACCGGGTTGGTGGATGTGGAGGATCCACCTAGGGGAGTTGGAAAACCCTGATTCCAAACCAATGGTGCACATGGGCTCCAGTATCTTGAAGGAACGAATGGCGTATGAACCAACTGTTGGTCACCGGCTATCATGGGACTGCATCTCCTCACGATGCTCCACTGCCTTGTGGATCAGACCTTTAGGTGAAAGGTTCGGGGTGTGGCCCCCTAAGAAAACCACCTGCTTCAATCTGGGCACCTGGGCAGTATCTCAGCCCTCACATAAATCAAATGAGATTTGTGAGGCGCATATTTATCTGGTGCTTCCTTGTACCAATATTTATGTGTTTAAATAAAATAATAAATAAAATAATACTGATAACTCCTTACGATGCTCAAATTATCAATGTATGATTTCCGCAAACGATAAACTGTTTATCAAAAGACAACAGACTCCATGAGACCAAGTTTTTAATATGACCATCGAATAACATGTTGATGCACAAAGTATTTTAAAGCGAAAGTGAACATAACAAAAGGGTCATTTGACATATAGGCCATTCAAATATACTAGCTTCATAGGGTTATTCTCATGCTAATGAAAGTAAAACTAGAATTTTAGGTTTTATTCTTGGTCTTCATGTCAAAAATTTAGATAAATTCGTTAGTTAGCTTTGTTCGAATAGCTGTTATTTTCTAGATGTTATTATCGGCGGTAATTTTGTTGTGTATCTTTGAAAAAAGGAGTTTATCGTTGTCGTTTATCGTCAATGCAATTACATAAAACAGTATCACTGTTTTTAGCCAGTCGAGTTGGCTTAGTGGTTAGTACCTCCGACTATGTACCAGGTCCGAACCCTACTCCACGTACTCCCGTTGAGTAAACTGGGTGAGTGAGCCGATTAAATTAAATGATTTTAACTGGATAATACTTTTATATTCTGGGTTTGACTTCTGTTTTTATTATACGACGCTATGATTGTTCTCAAGTACCTGATCGTGTTATGCAAAAGAGCTGATTTATGGTATCATGTAAACTCTTATAAGAGTTTGAATTTCTTATAATGTGGCAGTCAATCACTACACAAGTCAATGTCATCTCTGATTTTTTGAGATTGTTTTCAATTTACACTTGGTTCATTTTTTTATTACATGTCAGTTGTTTAGTGAATGGACAGAAATATTATAAATGTCAATTGACAGAATTGGAAAGATTTTTTGTATGATATGCGTACACTGAATTACTAAGGTCACAATCAGCATTTCTTTTTTACTGTTAATCCAACTCAGTGAAGATAATTGTACCAATGCATTAAGAGTAGTTTGGATTACGCAAGCAAATTGAAACAATTAATGGAGCTTGTTGTTTATGACCTTTAGCTTAGATCTTTTTTTGCTTAAAACCGTCCTGATAGTTATATGTAAGGAAAGCTAACACATTAACAAGTTTCTCATCTACTTTTTCAGTTATGAGTTGCCTTTCGATCGTCATGACTGGGTGATCGATCGATGTGGTAAAGAAGTACGTTATGTAATTGATTATTATGATGGAGGTTCTGTGAATGAAGCATATCAGTTCGCTATTCTGGATGTACGGCCTGCATTAGATTCGTTCGGTGCATTTTGGGATCGTGTTCTAGTTGCGTGGATGCGTTTCAGGATTCCTGATCCGCCGAAGAAACTCCATTCAAATGATCCAACGTTTCCGATAAAAAATGAAGTTCCTTGAGTGTTACACTCTTATTTAACCCACTTAGCTCGAGACTATGTATTTGTATATCCTACAGAAATACCTAGTTTAGTTATCATTCGAACTAACTCGAAAGTACCCTTACTGTAAGTGCACAAAAGATAACTGTGAATACGAAATTCGCTTGTACATTACTTATTGAAATACAAAGTTCTGATTATCACATTCTTTGTCGATTTTTTTGAAATCCTTTAGGCACACATTCCCTGAAACCTAAACAATGTTTGTAATTGAAGTACAAATTCTGAACAATTATGTGAATTTAAGAGTAATACAGTCTGCCTTGTTACAGTCAAACAGCTCACATCTCTTGTGGTAGATCTCAATTCCTGTTCACTGGTTTGTTAAGAAATATTGCTTCAGGCATAAAGTAATAAAAAAGTCATAAATATTAACCACCAACCTTGAGAGTTATTTGGTTGTGAGCGCACAGTAACCTACGTACCTGTCACACTGAAACCAAGTTTTGTTCTAATTACATCAATTGGTGGGACTTTACTACCTTGATAATTCACTATTTCTCTCCATGGAGCACTGCCGTGGTGGTTACATCAATTGACTATAAACTATTGGGTCACGGTTTCAAACTTCATTTAACCAATTTCCGTTTGTTTAACCGAATAGTATCACCCGTCTTCAAACCGAGTGAAACAAAACTTAATACATCGAAGTTTTCCGTTACTGAACTAACTGTAAACATTTACTGTCATTCAAATCAGTAAAAATTCTATATCCTTATGGAATATTTACTGTTTAAGTTTGTTTTAAATCTTTTCACTACCTTATTTTTAAACAGGACTTAGTTCTCATATATTCTCAGGAATGGTTATCTTGTCTGACAGTCATTGTCTCTACACCTAGTATTCAGGCAACATTTCGTTATTGTCACGATGCAATATGAACGATGTGTCAGCTCTCGTAAATTAATCGGGTCAGTGGCTCAAAACACCGTTTTGGCAGCAACATTACCATAGTCCTGTCTTTTACATCTATGGTATGACGTGGTTGGAAGATGAGAACGTTTCCTACCTGCATCTTTACTTGTTTTCTGCCGGAATTGTCAATATATCTCAGTGTTCTTTTTTGTTGTGTGGTCATTTTACAGTTTAGTCGCTTCCAACCAAATATATAACAGGTTCAGATAGCGGCCGGATATATATATATATATACCAAAGATGATAAGGATAGCTTATTCATGATTGAAAACTGATGGGAGAACTCTGTTCTGTATGTTGTCAACAAGCTCTACTAAACATCAATAAGAAAATTGGAAGCCATATTCAGATTTTCGTCTCATTTCTTCCATTTATACATCATAATATCGAGTTACTGAGCTTAACAACTTTACTGTAATGCGACAACGAGATCAGAAGTTAGGACTTTTGGATCACCTTATTAACCTAACAAAAGGTTTATTACCTACCCATATTTCGCAGACACTTTTCACATCATTCTTAAATGTAATCACACCCAAGGTGAATGGGTTTTGCGCCAATGACGAACCTTTAAATTGTGAATTGAATGGCCTGTTTTTAAAATATTCCTTATAAAGTCTTTTTATGTTAGTTTATGTCAAACATTGTCTTTTGCAAAGCATGGAAGTGTTTCTAATGGTGAATTTGTATTTAATCCTATTACAAAGAACCTAAAGATGTTTATATTATTGTAAGCGATTGCGGTTTCTGTTACCAGTCTGCAGAAAATATTTACATCACTCTTCGAATGGTCACATCAGAGTGAATATTATTGTTAAAAAATAAAATTGATCGGAATCACACCTAGTTAGGATATTGATCTGTTTTCATATCGGTCAAATTTTAATGCAATCAATTTGCACTTTTATGGAGTCGGTAGTCAGATTTTTTTATCTTTTAAGAAATGGCTTTCGAGTTTTTTATTTAGTGTTTGAATTTTATTGTAAAAATACTAGTGAAATTGTAACCAGTTTATTCTACAGAATTATGAAACGGCGTGTACTTGTTATATCTTGTGGCCGAGTGGATGCCCAGTTAATGTATGACGTGATAACCCACAAATCAAAGAGTAGCGAATTATCGATTGGAACAGTGACACACGAAACTGTACGAGCAGTCTAGAATGCTTATCGATCCTGCTTCTGCCTAGCCCAGCCAGTTAAATCCAGAACACCAATAACAGCCTCTGCCGTATGAGTCCTCGTATTTCAAATATACTGAGTTTATATACCAAACAGACTGACCGCATCGTACCAATAGAATAGGAAATAACATTAGTAAAAGATTTAGCCAAATGTGGGAGGCAGCAATTAATAGACTAGGGATAACTCAAGAATGGTAAATCCTACTATAATAGTCTATAGGTCAAAATAAAGCTTATAATAAGGGGAACATGAGTATGAATAGTTTAGTTATTTAGCAATTATACGACAATAAATCTATGCATAATACTGGTCCATTATAGCAACGACGATGATATAGATCAGTTCTATGAAAGGCTGCAATCAATTATAGAGAAGTGCTCACGAAAGGACCTCACCATCCTGATGGGAGACCTAAATGCTAAAGTTGGAGTGGACAACACAGGATATAAAGATGTAATTGGACGACATGGATTAGGAGAGAGAAATGAAAACGGGGAGAGACTTGCAAACCTATGTGCATTCAACAAATTGGTTATAGGCGGCACAATATTTTCACACAAGCGCATACACAGAGCTACATGGATCTCACCGGACCAAACCACAGAGAACCAGATAGATCACATCTGTATCAACAAAAAATTCCAAAGATCAATGGAAGATGTGAGAACCCGGAGAGGAGCTGGCATAGCTTCAGATCACTACCTGGTTGTGGCCAAGATGAGACTGAAGCTCAAGAAAGACTGGACAAACAGCACTACAAAGGTTCAATACAGCCTTCCTTCGAGATATTGACAAGCTCCATGAATTCAAGATAACTCTCAACAACAGGTTCCAGGCTCTACAGAATCTACTGAAAGAACAAGAAAATACTTTGGAGGACAACTGGAAAGGGATAAAAGAAGCACTAACTTCAACGTGTCAGTAGCTTCTTGGTCCTAAGAAGCATCATCACAAGGAATGGATCTCTCTGGGAACCCTAGACAAAATTCAAGAAAGGAAGAAGAAGAAACTAGCAATTAACAACAGCCGAACACGAGCAGAGAAAGTCAAAGCACAAGCAGACTACGCAGAAGCAAACAGGGAAGTGAAGAAAAGCATTAAAGCAGAAATACATGGGAGAACTAGCAACGACGGCAGGAAAATCTGCAAGAGAAGGGAATATGAGACAACTATATGATACAACGAAGAAATCGGCAGGGAGATGTAGTAAACAGGAGAGACTAGTCAAGGACAAAGAAGGAAATACAATCACTGAGATTCAAGAACGGAGGAAAAGATGGGCAGAATACTTCAAGAAACTGCTGAATAGAACCAGCGAATGGATCCACCGAACATCGAACTAGCACACACTGACCTTCCTATAGATGTCACTCCACCAACGATCGAAGAAGTCAAGATGGCCATCGGACAAATCAAAAGTGGGAAGGCAGCAGGACCTGACAATATACCAGCTGAAGCACTGAAGTCAGACATTGAAAAAACTGTAAATATGCTTCACCTTCTATTCAAGAAGATTTGGGGAGAACAAGTGCCAACGGACTGGAAAGAAGGATATCTCATAAAGATACCGAGGAAAGGAGATCTGAGCAAATGTGAGAACTACAGTGGCATCAGTTTGTTATCAGTACCAGGAAAAGTCTTCAACAGAGTGCTGCTGAATCGGATGAAAGACGCAGTAGACGCCGAACTTAGGGATCAACAGGCTGGATTCCGTAAGGATAGATCGTGCACAGACCAGATTGCGACACTACGGATCATCGTGGAACAATCAGCTGAGTGGAATTCATCACTATACGTCAACTTCATTGACTATGAGAAGGCGTTTGACAGCGTGGACAGGAGAACATTATGGAAATTTCTTCGACACTATGGAGTTCCTGAAAAGATTGTCAACATTATCCAAAACTCATACGATGGACTACAGTGCAAAATGGGAGGATTGGCAAAGCAAGGGCAGCATTTCTACAGTTGAAGAACATATGGAACTCAAAACAACTCTCAACTAATTTCAAGGTCAGAATCTTTAATACGAACGTCAAGACAGTCCTACTGTATAGAGCTGAAACCTGGAGAACTACAACGAACATCATCAGGAAGGTACAAGTATTTATAAACAGTTGTCTGCGCAAAATACTCAACATCCATTGGCCGGATACTATCAGCGACAGCGTTTTATGGGAGAGGACAAACCAGCTTCCAGCTGAAGAGGAAATTAGGAAAAGATGTTGGAAGTGGATCGGACATACATTAAGGAAATCACAAATGTGCATCACGACTCAATCCCTAACTTGGAATCCGGAAGGGAAGCGGAAAAGAGGAATGCCAAAGAACACACTACGCCGGGAAATAGAAGCAGATACGAAAAGGATGAATGTTAACTGGAAAGAACTGGAAAGGAAGGCTCAGGACAGAGTTGGATGGAGAATGCTGATGAGCGGCCTATGCTCCTCGACGAGGGGTAACAGGCGTAAATAAGTAAGTAAATACTGGTCCATAAATAGATCCCAAAGTTTCCTTTCACTATTGTTATCGGGATATAACAGTACTACAGTGATGTCACATGTATTTTGTTCAACATACGAAAAATCATAATCGTACAAATGTAAATAGCTCACTTTAATCACAGTATGTTTAAACTGACACTGTCGCAAGTTTCCTACAATAAAACGCAATGTAAAGCTAGGAAATAAAGTGAACTTATCGGATTTCGGGGCTAAACATGGAAAGTATTATTCTACTTGTTATCAATTACGAACACCTTTCTGAGATGTTTCAAATACAGCATTCCTAAATAATCTGTGATGTAGTCCAAAATGTGTGGTACTTATCAAACGTTTGAACATCAGAATGTCTAGTTTGATAAACATGTTAAATGTCAATCCAATTGAGCAACTGTGACTGCACCTCCAAAATGTTATTGAAGACTGACACTTGACATGGGCCATAAATCATTTTTAATGTCTTCAGATATATGGTTTATAAAGGACTTCAGGAAATCAGATTTTGAAAATCCCGACTAAAAGTAATCCCAGTAGATTACTAGATATTACAGTATTATTGAAACGCCGCTATGTACACAAAGAATATAATCTGGCGTGGTCGTATCTGAAATACGATCTGTGAGAAGTATTTGTGTCACTTGGTTGTATTGCATTTCGAGTTCCGTTGACAAGTGACCATGTTATGGTGACGGTTGGGTGGTGATGTTGGCTATAGGTAGAGTTCTATGGAAGTCCTTATCAAAGAATTATGAATACTCAGCATGTGTTTCACGACTTTTGATTGCCGATAATAAACCGGGACCAGTTTTAAATAAATTAATATATTTGTAGTATCCCGATAAGTAGAAAACTTAAACTTTCTGACGTTTCGTGACTCAGTGTAAGTCACTTCTTCGGAGGATAAATAACCAAATCAAAGTTAATTCAAGTTTAGATATTCTTGTGTTGTTCCGTTGTACTTGATAATGATACCTACGGGACCAGTTTTGTTTGACAATTAGTTTAATAATAGTGAACTGGTCCTGTGTAGTCGAATAATTAAATGAGTCGTGCCAACCCTAGCAGGATGACAGAATTCGAACGTGTTCAGTACACTTGTTTGCTCTTACGAAACTTTCTACTTCTATTGTTTGGGTGATATACCTTACTATCTATCAAAAAGTAAGTGTAGTATTCTGTATTCTCTTGTGTTACTCTGACTGTAAGACGTGGTTGTTTAAATTGAAACTCTTACTTTGGAAGTTCGCAGGATAATCGTAGTTTTTGGTTGAAGATATGTGATAATGACTAAAATATTTTACCTCTCCTTAGCTATTGATGACCGTATTACTTACATTTTTGAATGCTTTTTTTCTTCTTAGATTTTTACTAGTGTTGGTGAATTATTTTCACTCGGTAATTTCTGTTTGGTTTATACTAACCTGGATTACTAGTCATTTGTGCTGAGTCCCTATCATATGTCTATAAGCAAATTTAGAAAACTATTCTCTGAACCCAAGTTCATTTTAATTTTGAGGCAGGCATATCGTAATTTCCTAAAGGTTGGGCAAAGGAAAAATGATCTCCAGTCTAGGGTTGTCGGGACTGTTGGGTTTTTATTGAGATTATGAACCGATCAATCTTAGACCACAATTGAAAATGTGGGAGCATTCGACGGTCGTTCCGTCCTAATATGAAACTCCTCAGCAGTACGCTCCCACGATCCTGTACATCGCTAGATGCCGGCTCAGCGGTCTAGAGGTTAGGCGTTCGCGCGGGTGCGCACTGCTGAGAAGTTTCATGCTATGACGAAATGGCCGTACGGTGCATTCTAAGTACTCAATGTTGATCTAACATTGATCGGTTCATTATCGCAATAAGAAGAAAAGTAATTTAATGGACAACAGAAATGAAAAAGTCAGTCAATCATCACTAGCATTCAGGTTCAAATGTTACGGAGCTGAAGAATACACAAAACTAATGATAATAACCTTTCAGTAATGTGATATATTCATGTTAATAACATTGAGACGATTACAGACCTTTTGATATCAATTGACGCTAACACTCGTGATAATCACAGAGAACTTGAAGGTACCAAAAATAAACAATATTTATCATCCTCGGACTAAATTTATAATACCTGTACTTGACTAGAAAATCTCTTAATTTAGTTCACGAACTTGTTACCTTAACGAGCGAAATACGACACAAGACCTGGTCTATTATAGCATTATTCACATATCTCCGAAGCGACTACTTGTTGAAATAAGTGACATACAAAAAATATCAGAAAGTCAGCAGCTCAAATAAACGGCTCAAGGTCCTTTGCTTTTGTGCTAGTAATTATTGAACTTCTTCAAACGACCATAGCTACGTTAGTATAAGTATGCATAAAACG